GAACGTGGGGGTTTTTTTTTTTTTTTTTTTTTTTTTTTTTTTTTTTTTTTTTTTTTTTGGTACCAGGGATTGAACTTGGTTCCTTGCACTTGTGAGGCAGGTGCCAGAGCCACTGAGCTAAATCCCCGGCCCCTAGGCTTTTTTCTTAATGAAGACATTTAATCTTTAATTTTTAAAAAACAAACTGAGTTTTAGCTTTATGTTTTAACTTCTCTCTGGACTTTTTCCTGCTTTTTTTCTTTTTCTTTTTTTGGGGTGCTGGTGTTTGCACCCAGGGTTGACATGAAAGAAACCAATCAAATGAATAAGTTGTGCCTAGCAGTTGTGTGTTCTTGACAAGGACTAATGATATTGTTAGACAAAATATGATGGTTCATGCCAAGAGTAAAAATGCTATCCCAGGATTCACATGAGTATGTGTTAAGTGAATTGTGCAAGTTACCAAAGTTCACACAAAGAACAAAGTTATATGAGAGAGATTTACGACTCCAACATGGGAATTTGTTTTGAACTTTAGCATAATGTAGAGTTGGCTAAGAATTGTAAAGCAGCACTGATTTAGACATGTGGGACAAAGGGGAAAGTGTAGAGAACCAGACTGGTTCCCACTGCTGGCACTGAGAGGAGGCAGCAGTCAGCGAGGTGGATAGTGGACAAATTGCAGGCTGTTCCAAGGCTGGGCTTAAGACTTGTGACCATAGCCTTAGGAAGTAGGAAAGGTTCTAGTCCTTCCCTGGAGTTTAATCCTCAAATTGAAGAGTAGGTCTTGTACAGTTGAAAATTTTACATTCCATTGATAGGTAATCAATGACTGATCTTTAGTTTATGCTATTGTTCTTCCTGGATCCTAATTCCAGAGTACCTGAATTCTCAGCAGATAAAGAATCTACAGGGTTAGTATATCCTCTCATCTTTCCTGCACCTTTTGGAGAGGAGCTGACAGCCAAGAAGGCTTCTGTTTCTAATACTAGATACTTATGATGCCTTTGTCTCCTTTATCAGCCGCAGTCTTGGAGGAAAGCTTGGTGCCTCTGTCATTGAAGTCCTAGGTGTAGAATACATGGGTGAACTGACCCAGTTCACTGAATCCCAGCTCCAGAGTCATTTTGGAGAGAGGAATGGGTAAGTGATTGGTATTGTTTTTCAATCATAACCTTTGCGGAAATACTAAGTTCAGATATAGAAAAAAGCATCTAGTAAAATCTAGACCTCTTTGGCTTAGCATTTGTTCCTTGAGCTAATTTTGCTGGTTGGTCTTTTTTGTTTTAAAGTATTAGGTCAAAGAGGCTGGCAGTGTACCTCAGTGGTAGAACCATGGGTTTGATTTTCAGAACTGCAAAAATAAATAAAATAAAAAATTGGATCACTATAACCTCTCAATCTAGAGTCATGTTTTCATGTGCCTGGGGGGGTTGATAAGAATTCTTACTTTGACGCTGGGGAATTACTGTTACATCATTTATATATGCTAATTTGTTGATGTCCTTTTATTTGGTACTGGGAATCAAACTCAGCAAACTCAAGCAAACTTCTGCTTGCGAGGCAGCCAAGGTGCCACTGAGCTAAATCCCTGGCTTGGTGTTCCCTTAAAAATCCTTAAATCTTTTTTTTGGTACCGGGGATCGAACTCAGGTCCTAGCGCTTGCATGTCAGGTGGCGGAAGCACTGAGCCAAATCCCTGGCCCTTTTAAAATCCTTAAATCTAATAAATGGGGGAAAGGGGCTGGAGATTTAGCTCAGTGGTGCCAGCGCCTGCTTGGCAAGTAAGTGCAAGGTCCTGAGTTTGATCCCCAGTTCCACAAAAAAGAAAAAGAAAGAAAGAAAGAAGGGAAAAATGAAAAACCTTGGGGATATGAACTGGTGGCTTGCTTGGCACTTTTCTCAAAATACAGATAAGTTGGTTTTAGAAAATATTGCTATCCTTGCCAGGATCTTGCACTATAATCACTTGATAAGGGCAGGGGTTCTATCAGAGGTGACAATTTGGACACATTTTTCTTTTGTTATGAAAAGGATAAAAAGGTGATATTAGTTTAACAAGAATAATCATTCACTTTCACCTGAAAGTGTTCTTGTTGGTTTTATTAGGTCTTGGCTGTATGCCATGTGCCGAGGAATCGAACATGATCCAGTTAAACCCAGGCAGCTACCCAAAACGATTGGCTGTAGCAAGAACTTCCCAGGAAAAACTGCTCTGGCTACTAGGGAACAGGTGAGCAGGCAGTCTAACAGAGAACTGCCTTTTTTGTTTGTGGTGCTGAAGATTGAACCCAGGCCTTGTTCCCTCTAGGCAAGGCCTATACCACTGAGCTACCTGCCATTTTAAGAACTGCCTCTGTTGTGTGTGTATATGTGATATGGGATTGGACCCAGGAGAGCTCTACCTCTGAGCTATATCCTAGCCCTTTTTTATTTTGAGACAGGGTCTTCACTGAGTTGCCCAAGCTGGCCTCAAACTTAGAATCTTCCCATTTTAGCTTCCTGAATAACTGGGAGTACAGACATGTGCCACCATGCCTAGGTCAATGCTGCTGCTTTTAAACGGGTTGGTGGGTAGATTTTGGTAGCTATGGAATGTATTTTGGGGTTTTTTTGTTTAATTTATTTTGAGATTGGATCTCACTAAGTCACCAGGTTTCCTGGGCTGGGCTCAAACTTGTGATGTTCCTTCCTCAGCTTCCCAGAGTGCTGGAATTACATGCATATGTCCCCAAATCTGGCTTGAAGTTTAATAGGTCAGTTTATTTTTTGTTTTGAAATTTATTAGTTTAACTTGTGATTTACTTGTTTTTCCTTTCTTAAAAAGAAATAAGCTGGGCATGGTGGTGCATGCCTATAATCCCAGAATTTGGGAAGCTGAGTCAGGAGGATCACCTTGTGTTCAAAGCCAGCCTAGGCTACATAGTGAGTTCAAGGCCAGCCTGAACAGCATAGCAAGATCCTGTCTCAAAAATGAATAAAATAGAATTGATTAAAGTTTCTCATTTTTTTGCAAGGTGGAAACTTTTTTTTTTAAGGCAGGGTCTTGCTGGGTAGCACAGGCTGCCCTTGAACTCACAGGGATTCCTCCTCACCTTTGGTAAGATTATAAGTGTAAGCCACTACACCCAGCAAGCAGGTGGAAACTTGGAAAGCCTGGGATATTGTGCCTTGGTTGAGGTCTTTATTTTCTTAGTGCTGGAAGAAGGCTGAAATGCATCAAGATGACATGCCAGCAGAAAAAGAAAGTTAACTTAGACTGGGACAGGACAATACTGATTTTGATGATCTAATCATGGGGGAGCCATTGGTACACAGATTCCTTTGGGTTAGAACCGAGCAAATCCACTATCTAGTGCTATAAGAAACCTAGTTTATTTAAGTGAAAGATTAATATTGCAATACCTTCTTAGGTCCAGTGGTGGCTGCTGCAGTTAGCCCAGGAATTGGAGGAAAGACTGACGAAAGACCAGACTGATGTACGGTTCTCTTTATTTATTTCTGGGGTGGGTTTTGGAATTTATGTTGTTGTTCTTATTTGTTTTGGGGTATTTTTATTTGAGACAAAATCTCACTATGTAGCCCAGGCTGGCCTTAAACTTGTGATCCTTCTTTCTCAGCCTCCTGAATGCTGGGATCACAGGCATGCACCAACACACCCAGCTGGTTTTGGAATTTAAACTAATTCTTAACTTTATGGAACAGGAGCGAAAATAGAAAAAAGCCCGGCGTGTTGGTGCATGCATGTAGTTCCAGCACTTGGGGAGGCTGAGGCAGGAGGATTGCCATGAATTCAAGGCCAGCCTGAACTATATATAGTGAGATCCAGTTTTTTAAAAAAAAAAGGCATTAGCCTAGGAGAGTTTAAGAAATCTTTCAGCATAGTTATAAAACTCAACTCTTTGAAAGCTTTATTCTGTGAACCTGCAGTTTGTCTCTGCCCCATCTCTGTCGTTACAGCTCACCTCTACTTTTTCAGATTTTCTTATCTAACTTCTCTGCAAGCCTGATAAATAGTGATCTTTGACCCCACATAATAGCCAGTGAGGTACAGGGGATGGATTCCTGGAGGTGGATGTGTCTGTAAGCTTCAGAGGACTTTAAGATTTTTTTTTTTGTTGTTTTTTGTTTTTTATTTTAGCTTTAGAGGATTTTATAGCCTAGCAGATCCTGTGACATCACTGTTAGACCATTCCAGTGACGTCCCTTTCCATGCTGAGGATTTCTCTCTAATACTATGAATCTGATTGCCCACTGACTCCTGCCCCACCCCACCCCTCTGGTCTCAGCCCATGCCCCCTTTTCTCTAACACCAGGAAAGCAAGTGGCTGAGCACCTCTGCACTGCTGTATCCATGCCCCAGGAGTTTTAACCCCTCTGCCTGGATTTGCTCCCTGCTAGGATGCTGCTCCCGGAGGCTCCCCCTGATCCTTACAGCAGCAGCCTCTATCAGCTCTGCCTGGCCCAGGCCATTTCCATTACATTTGCCTGCTTTGTGTTTATTGTTCACAGCTCCAGTTACCATGAGAGCCATAAGGTCTGCACTTTATCCCATTCTCTCCTACCTCTTCTCTTTGTCTTTCTTCAGAGATGCATGGCAGGTGTTAGTTTTAGAAAGATGGCTTTGAGCTAGCCTTTAATCTCAGCATTCAGAAGGCTGAGGCAGGAAGATTGTCACAAGTTTGAGACCAACCTGGGCCACATAGTGAGTTCAAGGTCAGCCTGAACTACAAAGCAAGACCCTGTCTCAAAAAAAAACAAAAGAAAGATGGCTTTGTGAACAGGGACTCCTTTGTGATTGTCTGATTATATTCTGTCAAGATATGGAAATCTTCACAAATGGATTCTCATCCCTAAAGTAGTTGTGCTCATTGGATTGTTTGCCTTAAGCATTTCTTTTCCGTGCATCTTTTGGTTTTTGAGGAGATCCTCAGGTAGCCTTTTACCTCCTTACATTTCTACCTCTTGACTTTTCAATCTGCTGAGCATTGGGTATGGAAATGTCACTGACATCTCTGTGGAGGGCTGAGGAGGAGATGCTGGTGGGCACTTCTGCTGTATGGATAAGGGTATCAGGGCACAAAAGCCCTAACTGAAAACTAGACCATTATTCAGTTGTGGCATCCTAGCTTTCAGACAAGTACTTTCTTAAACCATTTTTTTCAGTATCGAAATAGAATATGGTGTGTTTATTTTTTATTTTGAGACAAGGTCTATGTAGTTCAGTCTGGCCTAAAACACTGATCTTCCTGCCTCAGCCTCCCAAGTGCTGAGATTACAGGTGTGCGCTACCATATCCAATTTATAATCTTCTTGCTTGGACACTATAAGAAAACTTTCAGGAGGGTCTCATCTTCATTTATTCTGTTCTATTCCCATCATCTATTAACATGGCCTAGATATTTTACTGTTCTATCATCCAAATTATGTCTTGTTCAGTTTTTCCAAAAATAGCACAAAAGGGCCAGGGATTTAGCACAGTGGTTCCGCTGCCTGCCTCGCAAGTGCAAAGACCTGAGTTCGATCCCTGGTACCAAAAAAAAAAAAAAAAGGCCAAAATAGCACAAAAATTTTGAGCTATTTTTAATTCAGAAAATGTGCTTATATAGTATAAAATCTGTACTACTAATGCATAAGAAATAGGAAAACAGGAATTGTTTTTGCATCCCTCCCAAACCCAGAGTCCTGTACACCACTGGCACTCAGTACACACTTGCATTTTATACAGGCACTGGAATAGTTTCATTCTTTGCTTACTAACACCATAGCCTTAAATTTTAAATGTACTGTTTTCAAACCATTCTGTCGCCCTGATTCTAACTCCTTCTGCACTTGATTATATAGAACCCAGATGCTCTAGATAACTTTATCTCGGTCTTAACCTTTTTCTACCCACAGAATGACAGGGTGGCCACCCAGCTGGTTGTGAGCATCCGTGTGCAAGGAGACAAACGTCTGAGCAGCTTGCGCCGCTGCTGTGCCCTCACCCGCTATGACGCTCACAAGATGAGCCAGGATGCGTTTGCTGTCATCAGGAACTGTAACACTTCAGGAATCCAGACTGAATGGTGAAGCTTCTAGCTCAACTTCTCGGAAGAAATGCATGCCTTGAGTGCTAAAGCTAGTGGGCTTCCTGGCTCTTGCAGCCAGGGTGGGCAATTTGTGATTTGGACTGGCAGCACCGATTACAGAAGGAAATGGTCACTAAGGGAGAGAAAATAGTAAAAAACCCAGAAACAAAGTTGTCAGATACAGCTTCCTAGCCTCCATTTGGTGCCTTCCAGCTCCCCAGGGCAGGTTCAAAGGCAAAGAGAACCAGTATTTTCTCAGCCTTCATTGGTTGTGCTTGGAGAATACAGTTCAAGGTTCTGGAATACTTAGGAACTTGGCTCTCAGCTATTTGATTGTTCCATCCTAAACACTGAGACAAAAATATCTGATGACCAAACTTAAAGGAGGAAAGGTTTATTTTGGCTCACAGTTTGTAGAGGTTCAGTCAATAGCTGGCTGGCTCTAAGGTAGGGTGGTGGGGCAGAGAAACAGTTTGTGGCAGGCAGAAGGCGGCAAGGCAGCAAATGATGAGCAAAACAGCAAGTGACAAGCAGCAGCCCTTCTCTCTCATGTTTTATCCAGGTGGCATGCCTCGTTATCCACCCCCAGAACTATGCCAAACCAGTCAGTGGTCTAATTTAGTAATCACACTCCCTTGATCCCAGCATCACACACTTAGTCCTAGGATCACATCACACACTCTAGGTCCAGCCACCTCTGAAAAGCCCCACCTATGACTGCATGAGGCTTTGGGGGGAACATCTAGACATAAGTCATAACAGCATCTTTCATACTTAGAAAAGTGACCATTATTCACTGATAATCTTCACCATCCCAGCTCAGTTACAAGTTCTACTGGCATTATACCAAATATATTCAAACTTCCCCTTTGTTAGACATGAAATATAACCAAAAATATGGTAAAGCCTGATTTGGGGGCATGTTCATTTTCTGTCTAGATGATGATTTTTAGGACTGGAATCCCTTACTTAACATAACCTGTTACTTTTTTTAAAAAAGGATTTCTAAGCGTGGGGTGCACGCCTTATAATCCCAGCACTTGAGAGGCTGAGCCAGGAGGATCACCATGAGTTCAAAGCCAGCCTGGGCTACACAGTGAGTTCAAGGCCAGCCTGAACTACATAGACCCTGTCTCAAAAAAAAAAAAAAAAAAAAAGTTCATCTCCTGGCAATACTATATGTAGATACCTATAATTTGATGAGGTCTCTAAAACTGGAGCCTTTGGTCTCTACTTAGAATAATTCACTGAGCCAGGTATAGTAATACATACTTGAAATCCCAGCACTCTGGGAGCCTGACCCAGAACCCTAGTCATTTGTGAACTGAATTGAGTCTCTGAAACAGTGATCTGTTGCTAATATCTGTGCTCCTTCTCTGTTATACAGGTACCCTCCCCTGACAATGGTCTTCCTCTGTGCTACGAAGTTCTCTGTCTCTGCCCCTGCATCTTGTACAGATATCACTGCCTTCCTGAGCAGTGACGCAGGTTCTCTATTGCCAGTCACCAACCTGGAAGCCAAGACCCAGGGAAGTGACCCAGTGGTGATAGCCACCAAGAAAGCAACCACCTCTCTGGAATCATTCTTCCAAAAAGCTGCAGAGAAGCAGAAAGTTAGAGAAGCTTCATGTTCACCTCTTACTGCTGCTACCCAGACACCGACAAGCAAGTTACCATTCAAGCCCCCTTTACTTTTCCAGACCAGTTGGACGACAGGCATGGAACCCTTCTTTAAGCAGAAGAGTCTGCTTCTAAAGCAGAAACAGCTCAGTAATTCTTCAGTGTCTTTGCCTCCACAAAACTCACAGGCCAACTCTAAAGGATCACCCAGCTATTTTCCAACAGAGCATTCAGAGGGTGCCCCTGCTTGTGACAGACCACTGAAGCTGGCCTCCTGTAAGGCAGTTTCTAGAGAGGAGGATCTGACACAAAAAAGCCTAGCAATGCCTGCGTTTTCAGTTCTCGAGTCTCTAGAGGTGGCCCCAAAGGCAGTGGCTACCTCCCATCTTTTAGCTGCTGAGGACCAGCTGCCCTGTGACAAGTGTGGCTCCCTGCTTCCAGTGTGGGAGATGCCAGAACACATGGACTACCATTTTGCATTGGAATTGCAGAAATCCTTTCTGCAGCAGCAGTCCTCAACTCCCCAGGCTGTTCCAGCTGTGTCTCCTCAAGGGAAAAGAAACCCCAAGAGCCCCTTGGCCTGTAGTAATAAACGTCCCCGGCCCGAGGGCATGCAGACATTGGAATCATTTTTTAAACCGTTAACACATTAATGCTGCCCTCAGGCTTGCTGTAGGGTTTTAATATTTTGCCTGTAACCTGGGAGATGGAAATACATTCATTATTTAAGGATATCTATAATGATGAAAACTTTTTTTTTTGTTATGGGGATCGAACTCAGGACCTTGTGCTTGTGAGGCTGGTGGCACCACTGAGCTAAATCCCCGGCACAATGAATTTAATACAAAAACAAAACTAGGAATTGCTAAAGGATTCGAGTTTTTAATCTTTAGAGTTTAGGGAGGCTGTGTCATAAAAGTTATATGGGCCTGGAGCCCAAGAGACCTGGTTCCAAGCCTCCCTCTGCTTCTTGTTCCCAGAATGGTGTCGCTTTCTTCACTTTTTCCTCTGTGGACTGACATCATCACCTTATGGATTACTGAAGATTTAAAAGTATGTATTAATTGCCTCATTGAAAGATGGCACAGAGAAGAAACTGACTAAAAGAAGGTTAAAAATATTTGCCTGGCTCTGTGATAGGCAGGTCAGATGACACCTTGATCAGAATTCTGGATTTTCTACCCCTGCATGTTGATATAGAATGAGACCACTTCATGCTCAGAACTAGAGCAGTACCAGCCTTGCCAAAGGACTTGCTGGAAAGAACCAGAATCTGCATGTTTATAGAACTTCCTCATGTATCTTTGACTTTTAGAAACCCCAACCTCTAGGCTTCCAGAGGTCAGGTTTGTAGAAGACATGACATTTCCTAAAACCCAAAGCACAAATTTCAGAATAAGTGCTTGGGACTTTGTGATCTCTGGCATGTTCTGTTCCACAATGAAGTATAAACATTGAGCTTAGAGTTTTGAATTCATATGATAGCTTTATGTCCACATCTGTTAGTACCATTTTTATTTTTGTGCTGCTAGGTCAAACCCAGGGCCTGTTTGTGCTAGGCAAGCACTCCACTGATCTGTAGCTCCAGTACTAGTACTTTTTGGGTATTTAGTTTTGGGGATACTGGAGATTGAACAGGGCCTCCACGCTGAACTCCATTCACAGCCTTTAATTTTTTGAGACAGAGTCTCAAGTTGCCCAGGCTGGGCTGGACCTTGAAATCTTCCCGTCTCAGCCTTCCAGAATGCTGGGATTGTACTTCAGTGCCACTGTGTCTGGCTTTAGTACTATATTTTTAGTATCTCCATTCTTATGGTTGAGAAGTCAGCTCTTTGGGCTTCTCTGATAAGAGGAGCCTTGAATTACACCTGGTACCAAAAAAAATGAAGAGCTAAGCAAGGTGCAGGTACATTACATGGGTGGGGAGAATGGTGTACATGTAACCTTCCCATATGCACAGACAAAGCAGTAGTGTTTAGTACATTTATAAATTGGAGGACTGTAATTTGAAGGACAAAAGCCACTGGACCTAGCAGAAAATTTTTTCCTTTGAAAATATTTTCCATTTTTATGGCACTTAAAAAGATAATCGCGGGCTGGGGATTTAGCTCAGCGGTTTGGTGGCCTGCCTTGCAAGCGCAAGGACCCGAGTTCAATCCCTGGTACCAAAAAAAAAAAAAGAAGATAATCGATGTGAGCTTTTTTTCTGTTAGATTTGTAGCTTCTTAAAGGGAGGAATGGTTCATGGTGCCCGACACATAAGTAGTAGTATTCTTTGGTTGAATGTTTAGAGGGACACATTTAGATCTGATGACCAATAAAAATGAACAGACTCCTTGCAGCCCTGCCTTAGATGTTCTCCTCCCCCTAAATGTTCCATTAATGTAGCAAAGTGGCTCAGTAATTCCTAGAGGAGTCTTATTCAATACTGAGATGGGATTTTTCCAACACTGGGTTTCGTAATTAAGGAAAAAGATATGTGAACAGCTGTGAGTGGAGCATTCATTTCTCAGCTGCTCTGCAGATCGAGTTGAATATTTCCTATAGTTGGGCTGGTATGAGGGAGCGCTACACAAAAGTAATGTGGTTGGAAGTCAGGTTCACTGGTCTTGGAGAAGTCCAAGCTGGTAGAGCACGTGGGTGGCAGTGTGAGTGGCACACCTTGTTTTCTGGGAAGCCAGCCCTGCCCAGCACACGAGTGGAGTCTGTCCAATGGACAGGCATGCAAAGGTCAGCGCTAGGTGACAGCCATAGTACCTTCTTGCTTCCTTCCTGCCATTTAACAGCAACTGCAGAGAAAGAAGGAAGCACTCTGCTTCTTGTACAGCAAGTTCTTCAGCCACAGGCTTCTTCATAGCAAGCTACAGCACAGGTATTTTTAAAAGCAGCGGATCCTGCGCGGTGGGGAAGATTTCACTAGAGGTAGAATGCCACACAGGACCATGGGCCACATTTATCATGCTATTTTGCCACAGTCAGAGCTCAAAATGTCATCTGTTTCCTGTAACTGACAAGTGGCCAACTCAAACACAGAGTGACTGCTTATCTGAGATGAAAGGGCCTGTTTCACTTTCTGCTTTGCTCAACTATACACGACAGGTGGGAGCACACGGTTAGGACTCTGAGCACTGATCTTGTAGTGGGGACAGAATGGTGAGCAGGGTGATGGATGAGTTCTTTCCCTCAGGGCTTGGCAACAATTGGTCTCACCCATCTAATCCCCGGGAAGACTCCAGCTCTGGAAGTGAGCCTGGTCTTAAGCATAAGCACAATGTATTCAATAAAACATTTTTATTCTGTACAGTGTATATGTGTATTTAAATATACATATATATATATGTATCTATATACACATATATATATTATTTTTTGCAGAGAAACCTCAATCAACAAATCCCTGAGTCCACGGAAACCCAGGACACTAACAAAGGGAAAGGAGGTGTCTGTACCTAAAGCTGTACCTAAAGAATAGGAAATAGGGTAAATTCTTTCCCTTTCCTCCTGGTTCCCTGCAACAGAGGGAAGGGGACAGGCACTACAAATTACTAAAATGAGGTTTATGTTGGAGAGGAAGTAGGGTGAGGATGGAAGGGTATGGAACTGTGGGTCGGATCCCCCAGCCACAGGTCTGAGAAGGTAAAACACTACTTGAGGGCTGACAGACAACTGCAGAGGGAAGGACGAGACTGAGTGACATGCAGCTGGCCTTTGGTATGCCAGGCCTTGGCCCAGCAGCCCCACACCTGGGCCAGCACGACAAATAGCACCTGTGGGGCCTGTGACAGTAGGGCTAGGGACAGGAAATAAAGCTGAGGAACAGGCCCCAGGTCTCAGCACAGTATACGTGGGAGCACTGCCATTCAGTGTCTTTTGTCCACAGTCAGTGAGAAATGGGCAACTTACATGGCCTTAAGAAGAGGTATAGAAAAAGAAGCGCTTTGAAGGGCCACCTCAGCTGTGACAATTCATGAAGTGCAAGGATCACACTGGTGACTCACACCCAGTCCTGGTAGTGGGCCAAGGTGGCTGTAGTCAGTACCTTCCAGTAGGCAGGCCACAGGGTTGCCAGGGCAGACAGCAGCTGGGCACCACCCTCAATTCCGTCTTCTCCCACAGGACTGCCCTCCCTGCCTCACCAAGCCTGACACCTCTCCAGAAAGGTGACAGGAAGCAGGTGGCAGAGAGCACCCCTCTTTCCCAAGCCTATTAACACTAACAGCCACCATTAAGGGGGCAGCTTGGCCGGAAGTCACCTTATGTATTGGGACAGCAACAACTGCCCTGCCTGGAGGACTTAGAAGCCCATGTTGGCCTGGGCTTCACCTGCTGAAATGGCTTGCACATCGGTGACATGGCCGATGCCCTTGGTGACACCCTCCCGGAACAGCAGCTTGGCGCCCACCTTCAGGTACTCAGGATGTTTCAGGAAGCGGAAACGAACCACTGCCTTCTCTCCCGTCCGCAGCTTGTCCTGCAGCAGAGAAGTGGACACTGCTTAGGCAGTGCTTACCATGCCATTCCCACCACCCTGGCTCTCTACCCTCAGGGCCTCTGTGTGGACTGCTGCTGGGATCCCCAAGCGGGCTTCTGTTCCCTCCATGGGAACAGGGACTTCTGCAGCAAATCTGAGCTTGGGCCTCTATTTTTCTTGAGGCAGTATTCTGACTTTTTCCTGGAGAAGGGAGGTGTGGGTGGGTCCCTCTTACCTTGGCATGGATCTTTTCCACCACAGCTGTCTGACGGACATTGCCCACGTGTACTGTCACCTGGAATCCTCGTCGGAAGGTGGTGGCATGAAACAGTAGGACTATTTCTGCCTCGAACACTGAGCAAATGATGGGGTTCATCTCGGGGCTCACCATCACCATGCCCTAGGGAGGCACAGCCCCCAGGCAGACCTGGCATCAGACCCTCTCTCCTGGTCTCCCCATACCCTTGTAGTTCCTGAATTAATTCTCCTTCGTGACTCCCAACCCAGAGACTTCTGAAGACAACATTCCAGACTCTAGGAGGGCATTCTCACCCACCTCCCATGTCCTCTGTCCACCAAAGCTTTGTGGTTTTAGGGTCCTAGGCATTTGGCTTGCACCACAATGATTCAGACAGCCATCTGGGCTTTGTGAGGGTTGTATTTTTCACACGTGGGTCTGTGTAACCAGACCTTAAGCTTCTAGGGTCAGGGCCTGCATTCTTTTTTTATTTTTTATTTTTTTTTGGTACCAGGGATCAAACCCAGGACCTTGCGCTTGCAAGGCAGGTGCAGTGCCACTGAGCTAAATCCCGGCCCCTGGGCCTGCATTATTTTGAATTGCTCTGAATATCTCAGACAGTTGGCCCTTGTCAGTAGTCAGCTCCCAGAACTTCCCTGCCCTCTGATCCCCTCACCTTTCGAAGGAGGGCGCGGTCAAAGTCCCCGAGGGCCAGTGTTGCAGCCTGCCCAGCCCGAAGCACCCGGCAGGCTGAGCGGTTGCGTTGGATGCTGCACACCCTCAGCTCCAGGAAACAGCCATCGTCAGTGGGGCCCACCACCAGCTGGTCACCCTCACGGCAGATCCCGCTGCAGCCCAGAGGGCAGGGCAAAGGGTCAGCCTGGGGTCCCCTGCCTGCTTCGCTAGGGTCACACTGAGCATGCTTTCCCTTCCGGGGCTGGGTTCCTCAAGTAGGGACAGGAGCCCTAACTCAGACTCGGATATGAGGTGGCTGCCCGGCTGGCCCGGCATTCACTCTGAAGGCTGACACCAGAAGAGGCTGCAGTGACAGCTCCAGTGGGGCACCCGCGGCCTGGTAACACCCAACACCTGGTCCCTGCGTGAGCAAGTGGTCCCCTTGGGTTTCACCCTGTGCTCTGGCTGTCCTTTTCTCGGTTTCCTATGCGAGACGAAGTCAGCTGAACATGCTCTAGGTGTCGTCCTGTGGCCCACGACCCACACTTCTCCCTCAGGGGCCTGGAGAGTCCCAGGAGGCAGCGCTAAGTGACCAGCTTCCAGATGTCCACTAGTGAAAGCCTAATCTGCAAGCAAGGATTCCTGAGGCAGGCTGTTTAGCTCCAGGGGCTCCTCCTTTGGGCCAGGATGTCTGCGTACAGGGCTACGAGAGGGCGGAGTGGGTAGTAGCAAACAAGGCACTTCACCTGGAAAGTGTGCCTCCAACGACAGTCCCCACCTCTGGCACTGTGTAGATTTCATCCACCTGGAGCCAAGAAAAGTGTCACTGTCCTGCCCAGTAGGGCCGGCAGGTCCAGCAGCTCTCCTCGCCCTGGGCCTGATACCTGGAATTCTGTCAGCTGCTGCATGAGCTCCTCCTGCTCTTTGCTGTTGGTGAGCGGGGGCAGGATGTTCAAGAAGACTTTGAGGAGGTCCAGACTCTCCCCAGACACGCTGGACAGCGTGAAGATGGGGGTGACACTGCACGGGGAGGCACGGAAGGGGCAGGTGAGGGAAGGCTGGCAGGAAACAGAGGCCAGGGCCCACACGGAGAGGGGAGCTTTTCTCAGGGAAGCCAAGGAAACAGCAAACATCTCCAGGGTCCCCAGCATCAGGAAAGCTCCAGGTGGGCTCGGGACGGAGCCAGAAGCCCTTCAGAGGAACTCCCATAGTCCCAAGCTGGAAAGGCTGCAGAACTGGGGCACAGCTGGCCTGGCCCTGAGGGGTCCCCATGCAGCCTCCCCTGTGGATCAGGGCTTCCAAGTAAGACACACTTACTTGGGTGACTGTGCAAACTGCTGGGCAGCAGTAACAGCATCGTCCTCAGAGGTGACCAGCATAGGGACTTTATGGCAGCCAGGCTGCTTGAGGACCCGCTCTAGCTGGCGTACTGTCCTCTCCACTGTGGTCTTGGCACACAGGTCCACCTTGCTGACCACAATGAAGAAGGGAACTTTCAGGGCCAGCGCCAGCCCCAGATGCTCCCTTGTAGTGCCAGCTGCTCACAAAAGGGCACGCAGCGAGAGAAGAGGGAGAGGCATGTTGGTGTGGCTCCCAGGGCAGGGACAGTCGGCACCTCCCTTCAGCCCTGTCCCCACTGACACCTCATACCAATCCCTGTGTTGGCGCTGACGAGGAGCAGGGCACAGTCGGGACAGTAGGAGGTGAGGCCGAAGATCGTGGTATGCAGGTACTTGTGGTGGCCAGCCAGGTCGATGAAGGTGATCATCTTGGAGCTGCTCTCACAGATCTCCTCTGCCGTCCGAGAGTCGCTGTAATTCACCACCTGGCCCGGGGCCCAGGGTCTCAGTGCCCTGCAAGCCCTCAACCCTTTGTGTGCCAGGACCTAAGCCAGTCCCTGGGAGCCCTGCCTTTCAGCCCTGAGTCCCACTTTCCATTGAGCTCAGCTGACTCTCCATTTTCATCCTAAGAGGGAAAGAGCTTGCTCTTGTTCCCTGGAGATTTGTCTACACTCCGCCCCGGCCTCCTCAGAGTCAGCCCCACTGGATCCCGCTGATCCCATGCACCTCTCCTTTGCTGTTAAAGCCCAGGATCTCGAAGCTGATGCTAGAGGTCCGGCCAGACTGAATCTCATGCAGGTGGCGGAAAAGGTTCAGCCGGGCCCGGCCCCGCCCGTTGTCCAGTTCACCCTGGGTCAGGACTCCCAGCAGGGTCGACTTCCCTGAATCCACATTCCCTAGGACAGCCACGCGGAGGTCTAGGAACTGTGAACAGACGGCAGTGGTAAGGGGTCTGGGCTCCACTTTCAGAGAAGGGTAAGAGTGAGAGATGATGTAGACACGCCAGGACCCCAGCCAGGTAAGAACATGCCCACCAGTGGGAAATCTTTAGGGGCAGGAGGGCACACACTCACCTGCTGGTTGTCGGGGACCTTTCGCACCAGCACCTCAGTGATCTTCCGGGGTGTGTCACTGTCATAGTCTACTTCTCGCTCCCGGAGGACAGTGATGTCCGCCCCAACCCTGTCACAGCAAGGCCACAGCTGCTGTATTTCACAGGGACTCCCATCATTCCAGCCTGGCCCTGGACCTTCCTGTACCTCTCATCTACCGAGTTCCCTCCAATCTGCCCCCATCCACAGTCCCTCTAAGGCACAGTAATGAACAAGAAAATGTATGTTTAATCAAGGGGCAGAAAGGCCCAGATCCAGGGAGGAGCTGTACTTGGGCCCTGACTCAAGGGACAGAGCAGCAGGAAATTCCCACTCAGCCCATAAGCCCTGGTGATGGGTCCCCTGAGTTAGGAAGGAAAGGGGGGCATACTTCTCTGCCATCCGGTGCAGGGTCTTGAGGGAGGCCCGCATCTCCTCCTCAGCCAGCCCCACCAGCAGCCCATTGTCCTCCACCCCGATCTGGTAGACAGCCTCACCGCGTCCCTCCTGGAGCCGCCACTTCATCTGTGTTACCAGATGCTCGAAGCGGTACTGGGATGGGTTCACCAGCTTCAGCTTAAGGACGGTAGGGAATCATGGAAGGCAAAATCAGAGGTGTCTCAAATGCACATGGTCTCTACTTATCTTTCCTCAGGGACCAGGACTTTCCCTGTCCCCCAAATACTGACTCCCCTGTTCTTCCCCAGCCTAAGACTCACTTTATATTCGATGTTTCCATCTTCTGCCTGAAAAAAAAAACAGGGCACAGTTAGCACAGCATCAGACCAATCCCCACTTCCCTGCAGGTCCCACTGGGCCCAGGCAGAGACAGCAGGGCCCAGGGCACCAGCTTAGGCCAGTGCCAGGAAGGTCAGGGCAGGTAAGCCCTTAGCTTCGAAGTGGCCTGTTTGAAGGAGGCAAATAAAAGGACACAGTGAGTCCCCCACTTAAGCCAGGAAAGGAACCCCAACCTCTCCCTTACTCCCTGATCACAAGACCACTCCTTCTCCCCAAGAACTAAAGCTGCTCTTCCCAGAGGTCTATGTCTCCTCAGTGCCAGGCTATTGAAGTCTTTTTTGCTACTGATCAGGAAACAACATTTCCTTCCTGCCCACTCCTTGTAGCTGATGTCATCAAGTGTAAGAGGCTGCAAGAGGTTTTGGGCCAGGGAAACACCATTTCCTTCCCGCCCAATCCTTGCAGCTGATGTTCAAGTGTAAGAGGCTGCAAGAGGTTTTGGGCCAGGGCCAAAGGGTGAGCTCAGAACCGGTCACTTGAACCTCAAGGCAAGGGAGCCCCAGGTGAGAAAGGATCAGAACTCCAAAGTTGGGACCAATAAGCAGAGCACAGTGTCAAACACCTGTGACCCTAGCACTTGAGGAGGCTGAGGCAGAAGGATAGCTGTGAGTTTAAGGCCAGCCTGAATTACATAGTGAGACCCTGTCTCAAACCAAAACCAAAACCAAAACCAAAACTACAAGTTGGGGCTGAGGTGAGCAAAAGCAACTCAGAAAATGTAACAAAGGGGACAGGATCCATAAACCAGACTCATGACAGCTTTTACGGCTTGTCCCCTAATCCTCACATCTCAGCTAAGGGGAAATCCTGAACCCACCCCACAGTCTTCTCTCCCTCCCCTGGGTTGTAACACAGCACAGAGCATCCTTTGGTCTGAGTTTTCTCCTCTCAGGTGCAAAAGGTTGTGGGCTTTGCCTTTTCTGCCATCTGCATTTCTGTACCCCTTCTCTCTGGCTATTTTTTGTTTCCTCTCCCTCCTCCTGAATTCATTCTGTTCCTTTTGGCCCTAAATAGGTGGTCTGCACCCCTCCCCTTCTCCATATGGGGTGTACACAAGATATTTCTTCAACAAAGACCTTTCTAAATGGGCCCTCATATCATTCTGCTGAGGGTGGAGGATCAAGAAGGTTGGCTTAAAAAACGTGTTCAAAGATGACAGGCTAAGCCAATGTTCTTCAAGCTTAGCCTCATGTCAGCAGCATTAGCATCATATGCAGATTGGTAAGAAATGTAGATTCTCAGGCCATCCTTTGCCTAATAGAAATTCTAGGAGTAGGGCCTGCAATCCGGGGTGACAGGTACACGCTAAAGTTTGACTGGTTTAGGTGCCTCCCCTGGATCCTGTCTCCAGAAGGAGGGACAAAGTAGCAGTTGCTCTTTGCTTTAAGGACAGATGGAGCAGTAGGCTGTTCTCTGTCTCCTCTCCTTCCGGACAGGCAAAGGGCAGAGGACCAGCCTGTCTCAGGTTTTATGTGGACGGTGTACTAAGGGCAGGGAAAGAACATGCAGCTCTCTTCTCCATACTTCTCTCTCCCTGGGAACAAGTTTGGAGAAAGTCTTGGTTCCCCTGCCGGCCTCCCCAGGAGCAGCACAAGTAGGGGGTGCCCCATTCCACCCACTCTTCCCTCTCCCCGCTTCTGGGCGATCGCGGTAAGAAAGGTATCTTATTCCCTCCCAGAGGTCCTAGCACCCAGGCGAGGTCCAATCCTTGAGCCTGCTCCCCGGTGTCCGGGACCGGAAAGACGGTCCCCCCCAAACCCCTCTCCCCAGGGTACCGATCCAGGAAGGGGAATCGGCGCTCTCCGTCCCGCCTCCCCAGGGTGCCGGGTCGGGAAGGTGCAATTCCCTGTAGTTCCGACGCTTTCCGAAGGTTCACCTCTGGGGGCAGGTACGGGGGGTTGTTGGCTTTGCCGCTTCGATTCCTTCCGTTCTTCTTCTTCCCCTTTGGGCCCCCGCAGCCGCTACCGCCGCCAGCCCCCCGCGCCTTGA